AATATGAATGCAATTGTCTTAAAGTGTAATATAAGGCCAACAACATATGAATGATAAAGTAACAGACCATATAAATAATATATGAATAAAACAATCACAAACCATACATAGCACATATGAATAAAACAACCATGAAACTGGATACCTTGCATCTATCAGGCTTTTCAATAACATATGATCAAATCACTGAAAGATCCCCCTCCTAAATTACTAAAAACTAGCATTCTGCATTGACAATAATATCTTAGTGTAAATTAATACACCCATTCGGACTAACACCCTCAAAACATAGAAAATATACAGGAAACTATCACAAACCATACATAGAATCAATTGCATTCAAGTATTTGTAGATATGAAAATCATATAAGAATTATCTTAAAATATAATTTGTGTTAATTTTTTTAATATTATTTTAGTTTCAGATCTACGATTTCCAACCACTGAAAGTGGGATGAATGAAACAGTAAATGTCAGATCTTTTTGGCAAAGAATAGAAAGAAGCATAGTTTTGGCAGGAATGAATAGAGGTATTACAGCTGTATTTTAATATATAAATCAAATTAAAAGTGTTAAAAGAATATATTTGAAATCAACACATGTTTGAACCATTACATTTACGAATGAATGAAGAAATATTTAAGATGATAGCAGCATATGTTGCCAGAAGTTTTACAGCAGACCATGAACTAGTATGAAGTTGATACTATTTTACCCACTTTTTACCATTATTTTTTAACAGAAAAAATCATGAAAATGACAGCTCCAGTCCTGCTCTATTATTACCTACATTTTGGATAGTGTGCTTATCTATGGTTTTGTAACAATTATACAGATCACATATCTGTTTATTTCGTTTAAAAGTTTCCCTTATTTGTGCCATTAGAAAAATCATAAAAAAAATTTAAAAATTGGAACCATATAACATCCTAAATTATTATACCTCAGTTATCATTTTCTATATGAAATAAGTACACAATATTTTGACTATTTTTCAAATTGCAAGCGTTGAACTATTTGACCGGTCAATAGTTTCCAACTATTGGACCTCGATGAAACTATTTGACCTCAAGCGTCATTATATTTCGCAGAATTTCAAATGCAGCTACATGATTGGATAATGTTGAGAATACAGCGGAGTTACGACATCTCATTTTGACAAGTGTATCTAGAGTTTGCTTCAGTACGGGACGTAGATTTAGCATTCAGAATATAATTATATGAAGTAAACGTGAAACAGTATGGTTGTGTTTCTGCTTTTTATATTACGATAGTTGATTTAGTACTGACATTTATTGTCTGTTGTCTCTTTCTGTATAATAAAACACTTACTGACTGGATATTCCTGGAATAGTAAGTGTATTGTCCCCTCGGATACAACTATTGCCCTCGGCTATGCCTCAGGGTAATAGTTACACCTTGGGGACACTTAACTGACTATTCCACTCATATCTAGTCAATAAGTATACAATATATATCTGAATTTTTCATGTAAATGTGTGATGGTCTAATAGTGGTCCTTCATATGATTTAGATATAGGTCTGTGGGCCTTTTCTCTTTCTCTCTCCATTACTTCACCAAGGGACTTAATTGCTAAATTATTCTGTAAATATTATGTGATATAATTGGTTTTAATTGTGTGTTCCCATTTTCCCTGGACTGCATATTTCCAGTGTTAATAATTTCAAGTCTTAATGGTTAAAAACAAGTTTTTATTAAAGGATATGGGAAATGAACTAAGATATGATAATGAATATTGTTTGGTACGGTATATTTCTAATGAGAAGGCAAATTTACCTTAAATGACAATTGTTTTAAAATGAAATGTGTTGGCTATTGTAAATAAATTTTTGAAATCAACATTTAAAAGATCCTTAATAACATCTTTTTGTCACACCTTAGACTTATCCAAAGATGTTATGATAAAGCCAAACTTTGAAGAGTGGAGTCCTTGGGTAGGAGAGATGTCAAGAATTGGCGATGACATATATAATACAGAGTATAAGAAGTGTGTTGCTGGGATATCTGAAGAAATAGATGAACCTATGCCAGAGGAATTACTTTCCCATTTATTATTGGATGAAAAGGTGAGTTACATTTAGATATTTTTTTCATAAATATTCAAAAGATGTAAATTTTACAGGAAACAACTAGTTTAGGTAGGGCCTTCTTTAACCTAAATCAGGTGCAAAATTAGATACATTTGGCATTAAAATAATTCATATTTGTTTGCATAGTGTGAACTGAAAGGTCTTTTAAATGTTTTGAATATTTACCAATATTATAAGGTCATAATAGGACAAAAGTGAGTTTTCTTAAAAAAAAAAGGAAAAGGGATGACACCTGTTTAGTTCTAAGATATATTTTTATGAGTGGGAAATGTTGATCATTTAAAACAGCACAAAAGTATTAGTTAGGTCTAGTTTTTATACGACCGCAAAAATTAAAAAATTTTTGGTGGTATATTGGTATGACGTTGGCGTCGTCGTCGTCGTCGTCGTCCAGCGTCGTCCGAAGACACATTGGTTTTCGCACTCTAACTTTAGTTTAAGTGAATGGATCTCCATGAAATTTTACCATAAGGTTCAATACCATGAAAGGAAGGTTGGGATTGATTTTGGGGGTTATGGTACCAACGGTTAAGGAAAAAGGGGCCAAAAATAAGCATTTTTGTAACTTCCAGACAATAACTTGTGTGTAAGTGTATGGATCTCTCTGACATTGTACCACAAGGTTCCATATCACAAAGGGAAGGCTGTAATTGATTATGGGGGTAATTGCCTCAAAATTTTAGGAATTAGGGGCCAAAAAAGGGGCAAAAAACAAGCATTTTTCTAGTTTCATGACAATAACTTGTGTGTAAGTGTTTGGATATTTCTGAAATTGTACTACAAGGTTCCATATTACAAAGGGAAAGCTGGAATTGAGTTTGGGGGTAATTGCCCTAAACGTTTAGGAATTGGGGGCCAAAAAGGGGCCAAAAATAAGCATTTTTCTAGTTTCCAGACAATAACTTGTGTTCAAGTGTATGGATCTCTCTGAAATTGTACTGCAAGGTACCATACCACAAAGGGAAGGCTGGGATTGAGTTTGGGGGTGATGAATCATAAGGGGGTTCAAAAAATTTGGGGGGGGGGATTTTTTTTTTTTTTAAATTTTCCATTTTAAGTTGGTTATTTCTGATTTATATTTAAAAGCAAATAATAATGATATGGTAGGAGATACACACCAAACAGGATGTGTAAATTATTATATAATAAGTTTTGTGCAATAGCAAGAAATTTTCAATTCCACAGTATTGCACAATAGCAAGAAATCTTCAATTGCACAGTATTGCGCAATAGCAAGAAATCTTCAATTGCACAGTATTGCGCAATAGCAAGAAATATCCAATAGTACAATATTGCGCAATAGCAAGAAATTGTCAATTGTACAGTATTGCGCAATAGCAAGAAATATTCAATTGCACAGTATTGTGCAAAAGAAGATATTTCGTATAAATTGCTTATTTCTTGATCAATTTCAATGGGGTTTTATTCTTGAATTTTTGGGGTTCTTTAATATGCTGAATCTTACCGTGTATTAAGTTTTTGGATTTTGGGCCCCGTTTTTAAATTGGTCCACATTGAGGTCCAAAGGGTCCAAAATTTAACTTTGTTTGATTTCATCAAAAATTGAATTATTGGGGTTCTTTGATATGCCGAATCTAATCGTGTATTTAGATTCTTAATTTTTGGTTCCGTTTTCAAATTGGTCTACATTAAGGTCCAAAGGGTCCAAAATTAAACTTAGTTTGATTTTAACAAAAATTGAATTTTTAGGGTTCTTTGATATGCTGAATCTAAACATGTATTTAGATTTTTGATTATGGGCCCAGTTTTCAAGTTGGTCCAAATCGGGGTCCAAAATTAAACTTTGTTTGATTTCAACAAAAATTGAATATATGGGGTTCTTTGATATGCTGAATCTAACCATGTATTTAGATTTTTGATTTTTTGGCCCCGTTATCAACTTTGTCCACATTGAGGTCAAAAGGGTCTAAAATAAAACTTTGTTTGATTTCATCAAAAATTGAATTCTTGGGGTTCTTTGATATGCTGAATCTAACCATGTATTTAGATTTTGGATATTGGACCATAATAGGTGAATGTCCAATTTAAAATTTTTAAGTTCTTAGACCACATTCATTCTGTGTCAGAAACCTATGCTGTGTCAAATATTTAATCACAATCCAAATTCAGACCTGTATCAAGCTTGAATGTTGTGTCCATACTTGCCCCAACTGTTCAGGGTTCGACCTCTGCGGTCGTATCAAGCTGCGCCCTGCGGAGTATTTTATTTATATTTCAGTTTGCAGAAAACTTTCTGAGTGGTCTCAGTTTATAGTTCAATCTGACAACAGAAGATAATATTATTTATCGTAGGAGGTTGGGAGCATTTCTGCTGTTGCAAATAGGTAATTTTAATTTAAAGAGATAGGATAAGACATTTAAAACTTTTAATCTCAAGAACTTACTGTATTCAGTTCAAAAATAATTTTGGTAAATTTTTACGTTTCTGGTTGGAATTTGATATTGCCTTCATTTATTCAGATATTCCATTAGACATGTCAGTTGAACAAATTTAAATCAGGTAAAAAACTGATGAAATCAAATATTTGCATCATTTTCTATGTAATATTTTTTTTGGTCCATGTCTATAAGACCAAAGAAATAGAATGGCAGAAATTTTCACTATATGAAATATAAACTAGCAATGAATCCATTGAAAAAAACATAACATTAATCTGGAAGAAAGTTCAACAGAGGGGATCATAATTTAAAGACCATGTTACATTATTTCTTTTAAAATTCTTTCACACATTTTGTTATTAAATAAAGCGTCATAAGTAAATGCATTTCCAGATTATAAGATTTTAAAGCTGATTTATTGTTTGATAGAATATATCTTATGTTATAACAAATAGATAGTACAGCAGAAGAAGTAACAGAAAATGAGAATGGCATGGGGCATCAGGAAGACCAGGTAAATATTCATCTTTAGAGGAGTCATTTCTAATTATTAATCCTTTTACAGTTTTTTTCCTTTTTTTTCAAGAAAGTATTGTATTAAACTGTAAATGGCATGTTTGGACATGCATGAATATCTTTTAAAGCAAAAATACATTCTTGATGCAACGTATGCACCAAAATTGCAGTTAGTGATACAGGCTTTAAGAAGCCTCCAGCTTGTGTACATTATTACGAGCTAATTTTTAGAAATGATAATTTGCAGATAGACAGCTTTTCATTTTTATTGACTGAATTTTTACTTCAGTCCCTAATTTCAATGTTTTCATTTTCTTCTTTTTTCTTCAGTCAGGAGCACCTACTGAAAGTTGTACAAGGCCGTAGATAACACCCGGACAAATCCAAAGAAGGTATTCCAATAAAAGTAGTTCATCATTACTGAAAATGTCAGAAGTTTAAAGTAGATTTTTGCAGATACTATTGCAAATCAATTAAAGACAATAGTGCTATGTATTATGGAAATGATATATTGATAATAAATTTTTCATTGAATAATGAAAGATTTCACAGTAAAATTTGATGAATGAAGCAACAGTATAAGGAGGATAAAAAGCACACAACATGATCAGTATTTATATGACCAAAAAAAACAAAAATTGAATACCAACAGAACAAAGCTTTTCACTTTGATACCTGCTTACACATGTCTTTTACTGTAAAAGTATAAATCATGCTCTAATGTTTCATGTTCACTAGAAACATTCAATTGAACATTAATAAAGGTTTACATGCTAACTTTTGTGTGTAGTCACCTTGTGACATACTGTTTAATTTCCGGACATGATGAACACACATGGTGCTTTTTAATGTATGATTCCTATATAACATTAACTGATTTTCTATTTAGAGAATAAAAATACCTCTGACTATTTAAGAAACATTAAATTCTACTCTATTAAACTCATATTTTTACATGAAGAGTCTTCATTGAAAACATTTCTTAAAGTATTTCTGAATGAATAAACATCTTTCCAAATATAATGTTGAAGATAAATATGATTGAAATACAAGGTTGGTGGTTGTGGCTACTTTGTGAACATGTATATTGACGGTAAATTGAACAGCATTTTTATTTATAACTATCCATACTTTTATTATTTCAGAAAAGACAGAAATCATTCATTTTTCCATCCTACAAAATTGGGGGAAAATATGAATGCATTTGCAACAACAAAAAAGACCAAGGGTAAGTAGCTTTTATAATATATAGCATATCATTTCCTTATGATTCCTGGTTTCCTCCAACAAGTATTGACTTTTTAACAATAACTAATAAAATGCTCCACTGGGCACAGCTTGATATGACCGCAGAGGTCGAACCCTGAACAGTTGGGGCAAGTATGAACACAACATTCAAGCTTGATACAGCTCTGAATTTGGATTGTGATTAAATATTTGACACAGCATAGGTTTCTGACAGAATGTGGTCTTAAGAACTTAAAAATTTTTAATTTACCTATTCAAACCAAATCATTATTATTTGCTTTTATATATAAATCAGAAATAATCAATTTAAAATGGAAAATTTTAAAGAAAAAAAAGGAAAAAAAATCCCCCCCCCAATTTTTGAACCCCCTTATGATTCATCACCCCACAAACTCAATCCCAGCCTTCCCTTTGTGGTATGGTACCTTACAGTACAATTTCAGAAAGATCCATACACTTGAACACAAGTTATTGTCTGGAAACTAGAAAAATGCTTGTTTTTTGTCCCCTTTTTGGTCCCAAATTCCTAAACGTTTAAGGTAATTACCCTCAAACTCAAACCTGGCTTTCCCGGTGTGATATGGAACCTTGTAGTACAATTTCATAAAGATCCATACACTTACACACAAGTTATTGTCCTGAAACTAGAAAAATGCTTGTTTTTTGCCCCTTTTTGGCCCCTAATTCCTTAACTGTTAGTACCATAACCCCCAAAATCAATCCCAACCTTCCTTTTGTGGTATTGAACTTTATACTAAAATTTCATAGAGATCCATTCACTAAAACTAAAGTTATTGTGCGAAAACCAATGTGTCTTAGGACGACGACGACACCAACGTCATACCAAAATACGACCGCAAAATTTTTTGCGGTCGTATAAAGACGGGAGATGTTTTTCATTAAAAAGTTATTGTGGCAGTTAAATATTGGAACAGGTTAAACAATCCATGACGTTGACAATCAGCTGACATATCAATATATATTCACATTTTACCATGGTTGTGTACTCAAAGTGATTGAAGAACATCATATTACAATATATTTGAACAATGATTTTAAAACATAATTATTACAATGATGTAACTACATGTATATCAATAAAGACTTGATAGTGACATCAAAGTAAAATGACTAACTTCTGAAAGGAAATCAAGGGCCTTCATTTATATGGATACAATAACCCCCATCCCCCATTTAAAAATGAGTAACCCAGATGGATTGAAATCATAAATGGGTACGTTTACTTTTCTATATTGGCTACAGGTATAGGGGGAGGGTTGAGATCTCATAAACATGTTTAACCCCGCTGCATTTTTGCGCCTGTCCCAAGTCAGGAGCCTCTAGCCTTTGTCAGTCTTGTATTATTTTTAATTTTAGTTTCTTGTGTACAATTTGGAGTTTAGTATGGCGTTCATTATCACTGAACTAGTATATATATTTGTTTAGGGGCCAGCTGAAGGACACCTCCGGGTGCGGGAATTTCTCGCTGCATTGAAGACCTGTTGGTGACCTTCTGCTGTTGTCTGTTCTATGGTCGGGTTGTTGTCTCTTTGACACATTCCCCATTTCCATTCTCAATTTTATGAGACCTTTCTGTTATTAAACTTTATTGTTTATTTATAGGTTATATTGGTCATGTGCAACATGTGAAAGGAACTTTCATCCACAATGTTTAGGATATGCTGAAAATTCAGTAAAACCCTTTGATTTCCATTGTCCAGAGTGTGAGGTACGTAATTGCCATTAACATACTTATAACATTGATGGCACTCAGTACTTCTCACAGTTGATAGATATGAATGAAATGTTATTGTCTAGTCATGAAGGTTAAGAAAGTTGAAGAATTTAGGTAAACATTTGATAGCTGTATAATTTTCAAAGTGTATTCTTGTTTGACTTTTATATGAATTAACAGAAATTAATTAATATTCATTGTGTGGAACTACTTTCATTTTTTCAAAAATGTGACACACAATATCACCACCTGATTGTGTTTTGGCTATGCAATGCATTTTCTGTCCCGCCTACGAAAGATTTTGGGGGCATTTATGTTCTTTCAGTTCATCCTTCTGTTTGCTCATCTGCCAGTTCCCCTGTTTGGTGTAGTTTTAGGGTGAAGTTATTACATGTAGTAACATCAACTTCAACCTTAGTGCACATGTTCCTTTTAATGTGATCTGTGTAATTTGCAATCCAAATTAGGGTTTTAAATTAACCTATTTTCAAGATTCAATGAACATAGAAATATATGACAGTGTGGAAACAGTACAATCTGATGTTGAAGTTTTTATTGAAGGTAGTTTAGGGTGAAGTTGTAGTAACATCAACTTGAAAATAAGTTCACAGGTTTCTTATAATGTTGTTTCTAAATTGCATGCAAATATATGGTTTTGATCCCATTATTTTGGTTCTATGAACCTGGATAATGATAATACAAGCAGGGTATTATTGAAATATGGAAACATTTTCTTGTTAATGTTATTTTATCAACAGTTGGCCTTTACATATAAAGTAATGAAATCTGAAGTGTGATGATGTATCAGTTATTTTTGTATTAAACAAAGAGGGCGCCAATAGGAAAATGGATGATTTTAAACATTTCTGTGGATTTTTTTGAATGAAATTTTTTATGTGTAATAAGGAACCATTTGTAATTGTACTAACCATTATCGGGTGTTTTAAGGATGGGATGTCAAATTAAATCCAAAAGTATACCCATTTCTGTTAAGTAATTTCTCTCATATATTCTCTCATATGTGTTTAAGATGAAAACAATCTGTATTGTGCAAACATATTTAACTTTTAAAGGCGATTAGAAACAGGAGTCTACGAACTTGACCATTTATACATTCTGTAGTAATGAAGGGTTCCATTTCTGATGATGGGTTTTATCAGGATTATAGACTGATATTATAAAATGAATGTTATGGAAAAGATTCTGTTAATTTTAATTTCAGTTGTCACCTGTGAAAGCATTAAAGAGGAAACGTTACAGTGTTAACATTGATAAGGAAACCGAGGTGAGTTTTCCACTATTTCGTTCACCTTTTCCATAAAAAGTAGCTCTAGTATGAATGTAGAGAATGTTGATACATGTATATCAGTTTGTGATTTGGATTGAAGTGAGAAGGTAAATTATAGATTTGATTATGATAGCCTGTTCATTTATTGTGTAATTGAAGGGCACTTTAACAGTAATTTTACATTTTTTTTTTACAATCAGGAATGATTGGGTTTTTTTTACTTCTTCATTAAAACTTCCAATCACATATGACAGTGCTATTTCAAAATAAGTAAATTATAATCTAGAGAATAAGAACAGTGAGTGTGTCTAAGAGACAACAGCCTTACTGTAAAGAGAGAAACGAAAGGCCACAAATGGGTCTTCATCTTATCATGAAAATCTTGCATGTAGAAGCAGGCTTCAGCTGGTCCTTAATTTATAATGCATTCCAGTTCAGCAAAATGGACACTACGTACACTTAACTCCAAACCCAGTTTTTTTTTGGTGCGTGAAACCTGACTGTTTGTCAGGCAGTAGTGATTGCATGTCAGTACCATCTGGATCATCATACATATGGGTTCTATTTCCATTTTTGTAAGTTTGAATCTAGTTTAGTGAGGGATTCAGTGCAAATATACTTTAGCCTGTACAGTTTCTGATTTACGTTATTGTTTTGCATATCTGGCAACCTACAGTTAATTCTTGATGTTTGCCCAACGCTTTAGCAAAAGACTATTTGATATGATTATCAATGACAGAACTGTCTACCAGAGAAAAACAAATCTAGATGTAAGCTAGGACCTATTTATAGTGCCTTAAATTCAGAGTGCCAGCAGCAATGAACAAAGCCCATACTTAATAAAAAGCTTTAAATTTCTTGGTATGCATGAAATATGAATGAAACTGTTCAATTAGGAAAACCATTAGTCTGCTTTATTCATGGAAAAACAATAAATCAACTTAAACAGAGTATTAGAAATAAGAAGATGTGGTATGAGTGCCAATGAGACAACTCGCCATCCAAGTGTGTACAGATTGAAATACATAATTAGAAACAAAACAGTGTAATCTGATATAATTTACAGGTAAATGAGGAAATATCAAATTATAAGGAAATGGAGGATGATGGGGAAATCACGGATAATGAAGAAATATCACATTATAAGGAAATGCAGGATGATGAGGATTTAACAGATAATGAGAAAGTGCAAGGATATCATAAAACTGACAGTGAAAGTGAAGTGGAATATGACGATGGTAATCATTGTAATGTTCATCATTCTCTTTATTCAATTTAGAACATACTAGCAGATATCGTTCCATGTTCATTTATGTGATGCTGATTTTTATTTTTTTTTAATAACAATAGAAAGAAAATCCACTGAGCATTTATTCAATATGCTGCAATTGGTCATTTTTTATTTCATACTAAGTTTATATATACCATGTATACTGTGAATTCATTTATTTTCGTGGGTACCAATTTTCGTGGATTGAGGAAAACTTGCACTTTCGTGGATACTTGATTTCTTGGTTTTCCAAAAGTCTGCATATATTCATAAAGCGAATTTGTAATTCCTTGAATATTTCAATTCGTGGTTTCCCTGTACCCACGAAATCCACGAAAATTGGTATCCAACGGATAACGATGAATCCACAGTAGTGGAATTACTTCAAGGTATACATAATAACTCCTATGTAGATTTTTGTTAATTTCATGACTTACAATGAGACATTTAGTAACACAGAAAAAATAAACCAAGCACTCTATTCATTCATTTATTCATTTCTTTTATTCCAGATTTCAACCTGGAATTTGCAGATTTTGAAGTAAGTGTAATTTCACATATCTTAAGTGTAAGTAATGTATTTCAGTGATTGATAATTGTAAATTGTAATTTCTAGGTTCTTGCTCATTTACTCATTTGTAGAAAATATAAAATGTTGTTAGTGTAAAACTTTTTAAAAGACCTTTGAATTAATCATATAAAAATGATAGGTAAAAGTTTTTAAATGTTACAATATTAAAGAATGGCATTGGTGATATAAGGCACAAGTCCAGTTTGATGAAACAGACTTTTTGGAGAATGTGGTTTTGAATCGGTTTATAACACACATATTGAGTTTTAACTTGTTATTTTTTGGCATTTTAGCAACTGAGAATAAAGAATCACTTGTATGAAATCATGAACTGTGAGGACAGTAAATGGTGAGACTTTACTTTAAGTTGAACAATTACTAATAGTAAATGCATGCAATTATTAAGAATCTGTTATGGTCAGTAAAATAAGTTTTACAAGCATTTGGTTCATTAGTATTTCATTAAGATTAACCACTTACCATTTTCATGAATTTTATAGGTTATGTAGTAACGGAAGCATTTGTAAAAAAAATCAGCATACTGCTATTTTTAGCAGGCAAAAGCTATTGCTTCATATTTAACTTTGTTTTGTTTGTATATTGTTTTATTTATGTAAGATGTTGTTTGAAGAAAAGTGCAGGGACATGACATCATCATTTTTTGCATCCTCAATTTTGAAAAATTGATCACTATTCAACAAATTATTTATTAAAGCTTGCTTTAGAATACACATTTGTTTCCTTCACATCAAAACAAGTTTAAAGTTGTAAAAATCCCTTTCATTATACAGTGTATTTTGTTGGTCTCAAGTGACACAATCATAAATTCATGCCCAGATCAGATTTAGAGAAAGGAAGAAAAAATTAGGATTTTTTGCACGTAATGACTATTTGTTTTTCATTATTTTCATATACCGGTATTCAAAATATGATTTATTACTGTAACAAAGAATCATTGACGTTTAGTAGTACTGAACCCTTATTTATGACTATGTCACATTTGCTCCTATATAAAGTCATAGGATGAGACTCAACATTGAATGGGTAAATATATAGGAGCAACACATAGGATTCACTACGTGCAGATTAAAATGTCCTTTCAGAGCATCTAATATCCAAGTTTTTAACGGATACTAAATGTTGCTAAGTTTTCAATATTGCATTTTGACATTTGTTGTTTTCTTTCTCGTTCTTTTCTTTTTTAAATAATATAAAATTAGATAAGGCATTATTATTAACCAGTCATGGTACCCAAAATCTGACCTTATATACAATCAAATGAATTATTACCAAATTAAACACAGTAACTGATTATAATTATTATACTACATTTCAACAGAAACATGTATACACATTTAAAGAAAGCAACATATAAACAATGTCACTGACAAAACATTAACTTAAGTCTGAATAATGAAAGCCACTGTGACCTAGAGAAGTTATTTATTCTTAATCAATTTATAGACCTAGGCCTATGGGAGACAACTCCTGTTCGATTTAAATAAACAAGTTTATTTTGTTCTCCACAAAGGGAGTGCAATATTTTAAAAAAAGTTTGAAGTAACAAAAAATCTTCAGATGAGAGAATCCAAACAATTTTCGTCTCCTGAGATAAATTAATTTGAAAAATTTTTGAATTCAGAAATGAAATAAGACAGATGTTGAGATCTTGTATTTTTGAGAATAGGATATTTTAAAAGAAAAAAGAACTCATCTTCAACTGCTTTTTTAGGAAGTTCCGCTTTTATATTTATATACTTCCTCCTTTCAATTTCAAGGTCATGACATATATAGATATAAATCTTGTAATTATTTGCCTTTCTTTTTTGGAATTTATTCTTAAATAATGGTTCAAACAGAAAAATGTCTTTAAAATTTTTGTCAGTTAAACTTATTGCTGAACTGTATATTGGTACTCTTCTCACAATTGCTTTCTTTTGACTAGGTAACCCAACATTAAATTTTGTTGTTAGAGAATTTGTTACTTTTTTTAATATATGGATTTGTTTTTTAAGTTTGACTGGTTTATGAATATATAGTGTATTATAACTAGGAATTTTAGAAATATGTCTATTATGTCTCCTATCCAGTGTTCCTGGTTAGATTTGTTCATAGACTGGGATAGTTTTTTTTGAAATAAAGTTATCCGTGTTTGTGTTTCTTAAATTTGAATTTGAGTTTGAATGTTTTCATTTAGTATCTTCCACCTGTTTTTAAATATTTTAAAAACAATAGCCAATCTTTCTTCATTTAACTTTGACCTAGGTATCTGCCAAAAATAAGGTTATGCCAGGAGCACTTGTACTACATTTAGTTCATTTTTGTACAAAGGATAAAAATATGTATTACTCCCAAAAAGGGAGTTAAGATGAAAGCAAAATCAAAAACAATATAGAAATTGTTTTGGGCCTTCATCCATTTTAGTTCGAAGATCTTATTATTTAAACACCAACACTCTAAAATTATTTTAGTAGATAAGACACTAAGTTTCTGTTATTGCTTTTAGTGTTGAAGTTGAACATGAGCGCCATCACGAATTTGTCAGTGCTCCCCAAAAAGTATATAACAGAGAGAGAAGAACAGTGGCATTTGGATGTGAAGTAGTAAATCAAAAGGTATGAGTTCATGATTTAAATAACCATTTATTGATTGTTAGTGTTTTAATGCCACTTTCACCGCAAATGGTTTATTTCACGGCAGCCAGAATCTATTGGTCGTGGAAGCTGGAGCCCCCAGAGAAAACGATGAACTACTGCAGGAAAATTGACAATCCAAGGCAATTAAGACTGGAGTCACTAGCCTAGTGGGTTTCAAACTTACAATGTCAGTGTTGAATAGTTAGTGATTACACTGTATAAAGTAAACTACTAATCCACTAGGTCACAGAGTCCTCGACATTTTTTAAAAACAAATGCTGTACTCTGGTCAGAAAGCTTTTATTGTGCTGGTGTTTTTTAAAATTTGATAGATGAGAATGCATAGTACCATATGTCTTCACTACCATCTTTTACTATCAATTAACCAGTCTTGGGAAATACCATGTCCACCTTATCTTACTTTAAAATATTGAAATTAAGATAATTACTAAATATTATTTGTACAGAATTCTTGTACAAGTTATCCTGCAGTCAATTGTGAACCTCTTATTATATAGACAATAGAAAATAGAGAATATTTATTAGCACAGACACATTTAAAAAAATTACGGTATAATATATTACGAGGCTAGATAAAAACTGACGAGGAAAGGTAACACCCGGCCATCGAAAGCTTTATTTTTATAGAGCCTAGATGGTCAAGTGGTCTAGTGCATTGGGCGTAGTGCAAGGCGGTTTGGTGCCACGATATCTGCCAGGGAAGAACAAAAAATTTGCTTCCGCAAATTTACAGATCTAACATTGTTGGGCTGTTGTTTAGATGAATTATATATATATATATATGCTCGGAAACAGGCCCTTATTCAATAAATATAATTCTTAATCTTCTTATTCTTATTCATTTACATTAAATGTTTATGGCATACAGTATAGTACAAGTGAATTAATAAACTGACAATAATTGAAGTAGACTGACAGTGGTCTTCACACGATAAAAAATACTACAAACATGTATTAACAGATAAACAATTATTAATGTCCATGAACAAAAAAGGAATAACACAGGAAAACAAAATTGAATAACTTGATATATGTATTTTTTCCACAACAACAAGTTTCAGATTTGTACATAGCAATGATAACAACCTTGACATACAAACACAAAAAGGCATTTAGACTTCATATAAAAAAATAGATTTATATGTATCATTACTACAAATTGTTTAACAATGATGAAGGATTTATTAGGTTCTAATTTGTTTTTATTTATAGATCATAAATGCTCTTCATAAATATCTTATTCAAAACCTGGTGTATAACCATAAAGAGCCTTTCAGGTTTGGAGGGAGACGAATAATAAACTTAAGGAATAGCAACCTTCAACAAATTTTCATCCAATATAAGATGTAAGTTAAATCATAATTTGCTTAAATATTGTATTGAATGAAATCATGATACTGTATGGTCATTTATATACAACTTGTTATTTTCCCCTAAAGATATGTTTAAAGTTATGAGCAGCTATATGTGACAGAATAGGTAATCTTATGAATTTTATTTCATAGATTACTGTGGATTCCTCAATATTTGTTTGATACTAATTTTTATGGATTTTTTTGGTACATGTAAACCAGGATTATTAATTTCCAACAATGTACAAATTTTTTTCAGGTTTTGATTCTGACTTTTGCAAAATCTGAATAAATCAAATTTTCACAGATATGTTATTTTCAAGAAACCATAATCCCCCCCTATGAACACCTACTGCTATATAGTTAATCTGCAATCCTTTTCATCGTGAAACAATTTGTTTACCATCATTTCCTATGAAGATTGAATCAGAAATAAGTGAAAAATTTTAGAGACATTTATGGTTGAAATGCAAATCCTGTGGAGTTGATATTGGTACTGTCTACTACCATGGTTTTTTATTTGTTTCATTGAACCAGTTTTTTGGTTAATTGTTTAACTTAACTGTTAATTCGCTAATAGTCAGTCTGATGAGTTAAGTCATTCTTAAATTATTTTTATCCTTTGTTCTTATGTCTTGCTGTTACACCTCTATTCCAGGTTAGGGGGAAGGTTTTCATCCAACAAATATGTATAAACCAGCTGCTTATAAACTGAATGTACCTGCCCTTAGTCAGGGCCTCAGGGGCCTATAATTTAGTGGTATCTTGTTGCTGTATTTCCTATTTGTTTTTTGTTAATTATTTGGTATATAAATGCAGATATCACATAGTCATTTAAAATCCATTTGATACTGATATATGTAGTTTCTTTTTATTTTAACCTTAGGATGGCTGACCACTATGTTACCTATGTTCTACATAAGGAGGCAATAATATACCTCAAACAAAGAAAGTCAGGATGTCCTTATGAGGCTGCTAATGAACGATGTGTAAATTCAGACGTTGATTTCAACAAGGAACTAAAAAGGATGAGATTAAAATAAATTGGACTTTTTTTTAAATGTTTGTCATTTTTTGTAGTACATGTAATACAAATGTATAGTGGGAATTTTGGTTGGAATTTTCGTAAAATTAATAGTCAATAAGTTAATTAATATTTAAGAACAAAACCTAAAAAAGATTGCTTTCATGTTGTGTTTTAAAGTTAAATCAAAAGTAATTGCAGAAGATATTAAAATATAGTATATGTAACCAAATAAATATATAAGGTTTTTCTGTATACTAGATTTACCATATTACATACTGGAATGAATGGTACATGATAATCTTTGTATACAGGCTTTATAAATTGAGTAGCTGTTTCACATACCCTGGGTCACTGATGAAACAGCTCCTTAAATATTCGCAAAATTAAATCATTATCACTGTACAACAACATCATTATAGTTTTAGAGATGAGACAATGTTGAAGGTTGGAGGAGTAAATATACTTAATTATATACTGTATTTGTTTTGTGATGCATGTATATAAATTATAGTTGCTATCCTTATTTGTATACACTGAATTTACGTATATATATATACAAAATGATATTTGTGTAATGAGTAAAATGGGATTGATGTTGAAGTTTGTTTATTAATGATACAAATTGACATTCCATTCGATTATATTGATATTTTTTATTTCAAATATAATACAATACTCTGAAATATTGTTAGTTCAAAAAATATTACTTATTTACATATAAATATAGGTTGATGGTCATACAATATCTATGTTTATGTTATTTTGATATTTACAGTGCTATTTACCATCTCATTACAAAACTATGAAACATAATACACAAGAGCTGATAGAGTATTGCCACATATAATAAAAATTCGTAAGGGTTCTGTGGAACCCAGTGTCTTGCCTACTTTTGCTGTTAGTCGCAGGCTCAACAAAAATGGGGAAAAAAATTATTAAAATTTTTCTTCTAAATACTATCTTTGATTGTAAAAAGCTTCTGTCCAAGTTTGGTAAAAATCCTGGATGGTTTATGAATCTAATAAATGTTTTAAAAAACTTTAACTGCAGACTGTATGTAATGTAACTGAAAGAAAAACTAAGTCCATTTATAAGTAATAAATGGAAAAACAGGAAATACATTTTTACAACATTTCCTTCTAGATATTAGCTTTTGTCTCGCTTTTGCGACAAAAGTCACAGACTCTGCAATAAATGAAAAGACATTAAATACATGTATTGAAGTAATATTGGTACTAGACTAAGGGAAGCAACTCATATTAACATCCTAAACAATTCATCAAAATTATATTTCTTTATTCTTGTCTATACTATATTCTGAATTCAATTTGACATTGATACATAAAACAATCTACGAGACTAAATCTAGCACTATAAATAACAAATACACAGATTTTAATGAATATGTAGATGTGAATCAATCATTTTTGCTCTTGAGAAAGGGAAGCAACTCCTGCTTTTTATTTTTTTCCTAATATTCCTGACTATACAATGTATCATATATTACAGATATTGCTACTTTTAAAGCAGAATTCTGCTTTTAACATTAAAAACTACCACTTATGCAATTATTTAATAGAACACAGACTTAAAAAGGCGACATTAAACTGTTTTAAATATAAAATAACCTCAGATTTCAGAATAATTATAACTTGGTACATTTAATAGTATGGTTAATATTTCTTTATATGCTTATGAATTGCATGAATATTGTTAGCACTGTTTAGCCTTTAGTAAAGGCTGGCTGGTAAAGTATACTATAACTGATGTATTGAGATGTAATTGTGATGTTTATATTGTATTAGACTGTACTTCAGATAATATCAAATCCATACAAGTACATTCATACTAGATTTAAACAACAATAAAATTTATGAATCTCTTTCATTTGCAGACATGAACATGCAAACATTAAAATAGAAAAAGAACCTTAATCATTATTGATTGTCTTTATGTTTAAGCAATTTTTTCATATAATTTTTTAGATGGGCTAGCACTTTTTTGCAGAATTTAAAAGGATGAACATCAACTTTAATAACGAAATAATATTAAGAATGCACTTGCCCATCTTAAATATTTAATGGTCCCTTATTTGGATTAAATTTCATCATACATTTAGAAACAATTTCCAGAAATCAAAATTATTACAGATTAAAATAATTACTTGTTTTGAGATGATGTTCTAAAACAGAAAATTCAATACAAATGAACATGTTTCTTTTTTTTTTAATGGTATAAGAGTATTTTCTTAAACTATTCTAATATGCAAAGGAGGTTTTAAATGTTGTTTTATTATCCCTTACCTTTAGAAGTGGTAAATATGTCTAAGATGAATGAATACTTTATTGTAGGAAGCATTACATTTATTATAGCAAAGTTCACATTTTTTAAACAAATCCAACCAAATCAACTAATTTTATCGGTGTAAATTCCAATACAGGAATGATACATTCACAGACATTTACAAGACAAATATACAAAGAGTCATATTTTCTGGTTGATAATAGACGCACATTTTATAACTACATTGCGAGGAGGTATTATTTATGAAACATGATATATGATAAACAACAGAGACCAATGTA